AGAGGGAGAGGGATAGAGGAAGGGAAAGAGAGAGGGGGAGAAAGAGAGGGGGAGAGGGGGAGAGGGAGAGAGAGGGAGAGGGATAGAGGAAGGGAAAGAGAGAGGGGGAGAAAGAGAGGGGGAGAGGGGGAGAGGGAGAGAGAGGGAGAGAGGGAAGGAAAGAGAGAGGGGGGAGAAAGAGAGGGGGAGAGGAGAGGGAGAGAGAGAGAGAGAGATGGCTAAAGCTGAGCTGACCAAAGTAAAGGCAGAATAAAATCTAATAAATAGACACATACACAAACACCCACATATTTTCTTTTTTTAATTCCAATTGCTCAGACCAATGGCACATCTTCAGCTAAGCCTAGGCCTCTTCCAGATAAATATCTTAAAACGTTAAAATTGAGGACCTCACAGGTTAGTCTTAAACAAGGGTGCAGCCAGGTGGAGTTGTCCTCTAATATTAATTTCATGAATACAGGCAGTCTTCGTGTTCAGGGTTAGGGTTAGGGTGAAACACCCATAGCAAACAGAACTCCAAGGTAGGTAGATTCCTCAAAGAACAGTTTTATTGGTTATATTGGATATATCATCTCTGAGGCTTCAGTGTTGCCACCTTGACTTATGAATTTAGCCCAGAATTTATGTTGCTAAGTGAGGAATTTGTTGAGTTTTGCAACATTTTACAATTTTTCTTGCCACTGTGGTTAAGTGAATCATTGTGGTTGTTAAGCTAGTAACATGGTTGTTAAGAGAATCTGCCTTCCCCATTGATTTTGCTTGTCAGAAGGATGCAAAAGAGAATCAGGTGACTCTGGGACACTGCAACCGTCATAAATATGAGTCAGTTCTCAAGCATCTGAATTTTAATCACATGACCAAGGGGATGCTGCAGCAGTTGTAAGAGTGAAAAACAGTCATAAGTCACTTTTCAATGCCATTGTAACTTCAAATAGTCTGTTGTACAAACGAACCGTTGTAAGTCGAGGACTACCTGTATAAGAAATATATTTTAAGAATTGGCAGGAGATTTGAGCTAACTGAAAAAAATATTCCTATGTAAACTGGGGATCCCAAGTTTTGACCCTTTTTATTTAGTTTTGAACCTTTGTATTTAGAATATCTACATAACCCAAATCTACAAAACCCTACATATTCATGCTCCAGAGACCTCTCACTGCAGAACTGGCCTCTCCATGTGCTCCACCAGACAATAACAGACATGTTTTCTGGCCATCCTAGTCAAATCAAAAGCACTTACATGCCCGTTCCCAAACTTTTAGCCATTTCTATCCCTTGACCGTGCTTTATGGGCATCACCAAACCATAAATGAGCATCACTCCGATGAGGCACTGTATTATGTGGATGACCAAGTAACCTAGAATAGAAAGCACAAGCAACCAATTGAAAAGGCCACATGAGGGCACTCTACACTGCTAGAGGAAACGATAAAGCATACATACCCCAAACTAGATAGGCAATTTGCCAACCAGAATATCTTGCAATTGCTCCCTGTTAATGCGAAAACAAAAAGGACAGATATTTATTTATATTAATTAATTTATTAGCCAGTTAAAATTCCATTGATTTTAACTGAAATAAAAATGCATGGTTCTTATTCAAAGTGCCTTTTAAGTACCAAATATAATATATAAAAAAACAAACAAAGCTACTGCCCCTTTCTGAAAATTTACAGAAATTATCTTTCTCCTTTCCTATCATAAACATGCACAAACATAAGGAACAGCCTCAACGTATGATCAAGTATGTCTCTCATGCAGCACCTTATTGACAAAAAATAATTACCAGTTTAAATTGATACATTAATTCTGATTACTCCCAAACTTGGAATTCCATGTACTTATCAAGAATTGATAAGGAGTAAAAGAAAAGTCCCAGAGTAGCAAATAAGTAAAATTAATTCAGAAGGGAGTGTGTTTAGGGCTGCAAAATTTAAATCACTAACTACTAAATGTCCGCAGAGATACAGAAAAAAAGTTTTTGCTTCCATATAGAGGCTGTCAGATTTCTGCAGATCTAGGTAGCTCTAGTGTAAACATTACTATGCCACTAAACTCAAGAATACCAAGTATTTATACAGCATAGTTTAAACTATAGGAAAAGGAATTTAGCAACAGAAAAGCTTTCAAAATACAGAAGGCATGAGCTGTATCTTCTGAAATACATAAGGATGGATTACAAAGCTGTTGAATTTCTTTCTACACATTTACCTATAGTAGGAAAAATCTGGGGGAAGCAGTCTTGTGCATACACAATATGCATAATTTTTCAGGCAGATTTCCATCAAGTGATTGGAGACTGTTGCTATCAAGCAATGGGATTATTCACTTCTTGGACACTTTCCTACCCAGGCAAATTTTATCCGTGGATAAAATTGCAAACTGTGAATGTCAATGACCGTGACTTTTAAATACACAATTATAAGTGAAACATAACAAATTCTTCATACTTTACAATGGGTGGATATTAAACATTTATTTCCAATCTCTTGATCCTTTGAAGGTCAACAGTGGAATAGATGCTACTCTCTGTTTAAAATGCAGGCTACTCTTGGTTATTGAGAAATCTGAATATGAGCCTGACAATTAAAGAATGCTGCCATTGTCCTCCAACACAAAGTAAAACTAGCAAGACCAAATACAAAAACTGCAGGGGGATTAGTTTATCAAGTGTGGGTGGAAGAGTGTTTGAAAGAATTCTGACTGAAAGGCCACAAAAAAGATTTTGCTTAAAAATCAGTTGGATGTGAAGAAGTTAACCAGGATTAGAGAACTCACCACGCTTTGTGAAGATGAAACTTTACTAAATAATGCTGGAAGGAATTCCTTCTGTCCTGCCCGTAATCTCTTGATATGTTTTCTGGGGGGGGAAAGGCATTAATGCACATTTTTGAGGTAGAATTTCAGAAGTCTTTTAAATCATATGTTTTAATAGAAGAACCCTGGTCTGTGAAAATAAAATATCCAGTAGAGCAGGGGTGTCAAACTTGTTTTCATTGAGGGCTGTATCAGGGTTGTGTTTTACCTCTGGGGGGGGGGATGTGTGGCCAAGGTAGGCTTGGCCAGAGTAGGTGTGGCCAGAGTAGGCATGGCCACAGTAGGCATGGCCAGCTTGACATCACTCATGTCGGGGTGCCTGTGGTGGCCCGAGCACTCTGCCAGTGAAAACAGGCTCCCAAGCTTCGTTTCCGGCTGTGACGGCCTCCTACAAGCCTCTGCCAGCGAAAACAGAGCTCCGCACGCAGCCCTCCCAAGTGCTTTTCACTGGCAGGGGCACTGCAGATTGGTCCTTCACTGTTTCCATGGTGGCCCTGTGGGCCATATCTAGGCACACCATGGGCCTGTTTTGACATCCCTGCAGTAGAGGATCACAAACTCAGAAGAAGATCAAGGCATACCTGTAGCAGGCAAGGATATGGAACACGTAGCTGACACTTGTGAGAGAAGCAGAGCCAATGCTGAAGATCCACACACCTATGGAGAAGCAGCTTTGGTGATTTATTTTGTCCACAATCCTCATAATCAAATGCCAATTATGTTTCCATACTCAGCCAGCCAGCACAAGCATGGGGGAAAATAATAAACTTTATGGTATTTTCTTTAATCCTTGTCTTGTTACATCTCAGTTGTTTTTCAGCTCAGAAGTTAAACTGATGTACAAATGAAAAGGCAACCATTATGGACAATACCTATGTTTCCTTGACAGTAATATGTCTTCTTAGCATAAGGAATGGGAAATAATATTCTATCCCCTTTTAACCAAAAAAAATTTTTTATTAAACTTTAAAGATCTCACCATTAACTTTTTGTTTAAAAACGTCACCTTTAAAAACTACACCCATTGCATTTTTTTTTTCAAATTTGAACATGACATCCATAAAACAAGGTTCAAAAATCAATCACCAATATTAATTCTGTGGCCAGTATTTGCCTACAGATTTAATTTAAAAATGCTCTCATGACTATACCTTCCACGACTTCAACGAATTCTTTTAAAGGTTCGATATCTGATACATTGCTGGCAGCTGGAAGCCTCTCATAATCTGATATCAGAATTACCAGAGTACATGAAACAAGCTTGTAAACATAATACTCAATCACAACAAACTGGAAGAGAAAGAGAGAAGCAATTATTGGGTGATTATAAAGGCATGTGAGGAAGACCTTGAGAAATGGGCCAAAAAAAGGCTGCCTGGGGAACAGACCTAAGAAGGGGCATTGGCCACAGCTGCATAACGGACAGAGGAAACAGCTCAGCAAGGATCCCCTCCCTCCAACTTCTCAGGCTGTAAAGGAAATGGCAGGAGATTTGTACTTTCAAATTTGCAAGATTCTGTTAATGTAGCCTTGCACATATGTGCTAGTCGTTCCCGACTCTAGGGGGACGGTGCTGATCTCTGTTTCAAAGCTGAAGAGCCAGCGCTGTCTGAAAACGTCTCTGTGGTCGTGTGGCCGGCATGACTAAATGCCGAAGGCATACGGAATGTTGTTACCTTTTCCCCAAAGGTGGTTCCTATTTTTCTACTTGCATTTTTACATGTTTTCGAACTGCTAGGTTGGCAGAAGCTGCAACAAGTAACGGGAGCTCACTCTGTTATGTGGCACTAGAGATTCGAACCACCAAATGCCAACATTTCTGATTGACAACCTCAGCATCTTAGCCACTGAACCACTTTTGTTTCCTGTCCAATCTGCCTGAGAAGATTAACACCAATCTTTCAAGCCTGAAAATGCAGCTCTCCTATTGTCTTTCTCTGAAACCTGAGAAATTAGGGAGAGTCCTTTCTGAGACTCTTTCTCTGCCCATTGTGCTGCTGAGAGTTATGCAGCATCTCTTCCCCCTGTTCCTCAATATATTTCTCATGTATCCTTTGTAGTGATCCAGAGATATTGCTGGCAATTTCAGGTCCACAAGCATAACCCATAACTCCAAGATGCATATTTTATGAAGAAAGACATTGAATCAAAAATCAGCAGCTATCAATAGTTAATATCTCTGAGAATAACAAAAATAAATGTTTTATAGAGCTCTTTTTCCTTTTGGTATGAGAACAATATTAAGGCCGATGCTATAGAGCAGGACTCTTGAGAACTTAACCTTAGGAAATGTCTTTTCCTAAGCAGATATAACAAACCATAATTCATGTACCCTCAACAGTTTCATTAAGTAGGGCTGCTCCTGCAAGGCAGACTGTTTCTTTACAATTTGGGTAGGAAAATGTTATACAGAGCAATGGAGATTAGGACTTTCCATGAACATTTCTATACTTTTGTTTGTGAGGTGCAAGAAGAAGGACAACTGCAACAATGGTATTTCAATAAGTTTTAAGTAGTCTCAATTTGGAATAAATTATTTTTTGTGAGCAGCATACAGAAAACAGACTACGCTCTACACAGATTCTATAATCCATTGTCTATTCTTTGCATTACAAAAAACAGTTAATACCCAGAATACCTTAAGTTTAAGATTAGTGAAATAAAATTGGAAACACCCATGGTTTCCCAGTTCAATGTGTTTTGCATGACCCACAACTCTTTGGCTTACCATGTAAAGGCAAATGATGGCAAGCACTGCTGTGCAGATCATTCGGCTGGGAAACTGAAAGTAAGGATCCCATTCATAGATGTTCCGCTGGATCCAAGGTTTCTGAGGCTTCCTGTTTTTAAAGAAGACAATATGCACAGCTTGGAGGAGATGGGTAACAAGAAAAAGAGGACAAGGCTTCCTTAGCATCATTCACTTTGTATCTTCTTTTACCCTTAATCTAACTGCAGCCCAATATCCCTTTACCCACTCTTCTATAATTCTAATATTGAGCATCTATATTAGATTGACTGCCAGTCAGTTCAAGCTATTTTCTCTTTCTAAGGCAAGGTTTCCCAACCGTGGCATGTGGACTTCAACTCCTATGGCTGGAAAATTCTGGGGATTGAAATCCATGTGTCTTAAAGTTGCCATGGTTGGGAAGCCCTGTTCTAAGAAAGGGTAGCTAGGAGCGTGACCCGTCAAAACCGCGCTCGACTAAGCCGCGCCCGATTAAACCGCATCACTGACGTCATCAACAGGACGACAACAGCGAGTGCAGAGAAAGAAGGGCGCTTTAAATAGCGCTTTGAAAGCAAGTCGATTCAACTTAAGGTAAGGGTTAGGTTTAGGGTTAGCTTTAGGGTTAGGTTTAGGATTAGGTTAAGGGTTAGGGTTAGGGTTATGGTTAGGGTTAGGTTTAGGGTTAGGTTAAGGGTTAGAAATAGGTTTAGGGTTAGGTTAAGGGTTAGGATTAGGTTTAGGGTTAGGTTAAGGGTTAGGTTTAGGGTTAGGTTAAGGATTAGATTTAGGGTTAGGTTTAGGATTAGGTTTAGGGGGGTTAGGTTTAGGTTTAGGAGTTAATTTTAGGTTTAGGGTTTACAGCGTGCTTCTGTCTCCGCGCTGTTGTTGCCCTGTTGATGACGTCAGCTACGCGGTTTAGTCGGACGTGGTTTAGTCGAGCGCGGTTTTGTGGTGGAACCAGCTAGGAGGCCACCATTCATGGAACACAACAAAGGCAAGGGGAGTTAATCAAGATACCCCAATGGATTATCAATTCCCAAGCCTAGATTAACTCTTGAACAAGAGAAACACATGGTTAGGGCACCAAGGGAATGGGCACCATTGAGTTTCCCCCCCCCTTTGCTATCATGCTCTTTTCTTTGGCACAGTAAGCAACTAAACTTTAAAAATTTTGAGTCGTCATAATTTGTTGGTTGAGCAATGAAAGGTCCAAAGGCCAACATTATTGCACTAAGACTAGGGCATCGTCTGGCTTAATCTCACCCTGCCAATCCCTTCCAGAACTAGATATTAAGAGCACCATTGAGCTAATTATTTGTGACTAACATCTTCAAAGAACTATGTCTCAAATGAAATGACAATTATTTCTAAGGGTCCTTCCCAACAGCTCATTGCTTGAGATTATTTACTGTCATCCCTTCAAGGTAAGCCAGAAACCAAAATCTTGCAGGGCAATATTATTTTACTATAAAGCTATAATATATGTAGTCCTCAACTTACAACCATTCATTTAACAAGTGTTTGAAATTACATCAATTCTGGGGAGGAAAATGACTTACAACCAGTCCTCACCCTGGCAATCATCCCCGCATCCCCACAGTCATGTGACGAAAATTCAGGTGCTGGTGTATACCAGTATTTAGAATGGTTGCAGCATCCCAGAGTCATGTGACCTCCATTTGTAACCTTCCCAGACAGCTTCCAACAAGCCAAGTCAATGGGAGGCAACAGGATTCACTTAACAATCACGATTCACATAACTGTAGTGATTCGCTAAACAACCCTGAGAGGAATGGTCATAAAATTAGGTGCAACTCGCTTAACAACCACTTTGCTTGGACATGGGAATTCTGGTCCAAATTGTAGTCATAAGTCAAGGACTATCTGTAACATATTCTTGCAAGACTGAATGTTCTTCCTCCCTCCCTCCCTCCCTTTATCTTCATGTGAGCTAGGGAGGGATTCCCCAGAAAACAAAATATGGATTATTGAGGGAACTGTCCCTAGAAATTAAGAGTATATGGTGTATATGATATCCTAAGAAACATTCCTCAAACAAAATGAGTGTCCTCACTGCAGTGGAGGTTTCCTCAACAATTGTTGGACGTATTGAGCATGATGGGTCTCCAATAAAGTAGTGTTGTCCTGCAGGGAAGGAAAAATAATTATTTATTGCTTTAGTCCTTAACACCATTCAAAGGTCAGAAATGGTTAGAAATAAGGAACAGAGGAGTAGAAGTGGCTGATGACCAGGAAAAAAAATCCCTTTCCCCATCCATCTTGCATCCTACTCCATCCCTCCTCATCTATAAATATAATCTGTATTGTTATTGTTGTTATTGTTGTTATTGTTGT